TCCCACATACTGTGATTACAGGTGTGTACCACCCCATGCCATTTCTGTAGTGCCGAGAACAGAATCCAGGGCTTCGTGCATGCCAGGCAAGCACTTAACCAATTGAGCTATATTCTTAGTGCCTCATAATGCATGATGACCAGTCCTTCTTACCTCTGTGAGGTAAGTCTAAAGATCTCTCTGACACAGATGTGTCTGTGTACACCTCCATTCTCAACACCAACTACCAGCTCTTCAAAGCCTTTGGGTGTTTGCACCCAACACCAAGGGACAGAAAAGATGCATAGGCTTCCTTTAAAACACCAGACAAGATGAGAGAGAGCTTGGGGGTCAAAGAATGAACGAAGTGTCATCAATCTGAGGTTCTGTCCATGGTCACACACAGGCACGGACGCCCCCTGGAACCTGCTTTGCAAACAGAGGTGCCTCCCAGTGCTGGTTGACTAGAGGAACATTTCACCCCTGCCACCCATACCCCATATCCTGCTAGATCCTAGTGAAGCCTCCTTAGATTGCTCGTTGCCCTGTTTCGTGCTGGTGACCACACTGGTGAATTGGCACCTTGCTCAGCCAGGAGCCAAGTGATCCTCAGGGTTCCTCACACAGTGAGCGGGTATGAGGAACCTTCACAAGGGAGGATCTGGTGTTCCCAGAAGACACCGGCCAGTGCATCTTCAGGAACATTTGCTGATCCTTTGGTTCCTGCTCACTTCTCCGGGGCCCACACACTTGCAAGGAAGGCTGAACCAACTACCTGGGGGAGGGGCGGGGGAGGCTCGGGCAGAGGGACAGCTTTTCCTCTGCTGCTGTGTGGGCTGCAGCAGAGGAAAGCGAAGGACATGCAGGTGACCTACCTGAGTAAACCGCAGCAGCCACCGGATGGGAACCGGGCTGGGTTGCCACTGGGGCTGATATAACCTGCTATGGGTTCAAGGTAAGGAGGAGGCAGGCTGGAGCAGGAAGAGATTTGCTCTCCAACTGGCCATCCGACTACACTGCTGTTTCAGGTGGGGCTCCGACTAGTTGCGGGGTGCAGTCTTCTCCCCCATGGGGAAACCAGCAGATGAACCCATCAAGTGCCACCTGCGCATGCTGCAGCCTCGAAATCTATTATGCTGGTGCAGAACATCTAGGGGAGGGCCAGGGGTGGGAGAGAGGTTGACAGCCAGGGGTCCGGGCCATCTCCAGAGTTGTGCAGCCTGTAACATCTGCGGGCAGCTGTTCCCTCAGGCCCTTGGTTCCTCCGTACCATTCTCAAAGAAGGCAGGTACTGGCCGCTAAGGCCAATCCATGCGCCCTCATTTCACCATGAACCTTTCCTGTGGCTCATTCCTTCCTTGATCCTGAAACGTTGCCAGGCAGCATTTCTACCAATGGACTAAGGCCCGAGGGAGACCCAGTTAAGAAAAATAATACAGCTGGACTCAGCTGCTGTGCCACTTTTGTGAGGCTGCATACTTTGTGGGAGGCCAAAGAGAAAGTTCCTGAAAAGTAAATTCTAAGAAATAGCTCCATTAAGGTTTTCTGGAAGTGTCTCCATTCCTTCCTGTCATTTCTCCCTCACACACCCCTGGCTGTCTCTAAGAATGGGGGGAAAGGGAAGTAAGGAACCCGGGAGATCAAGCCCAGTTACTGTGGGAAGAAAGCCCTTGAGGGAATATTCTAAATAGCAGTCCAAACGATAGGAAGCTTTGATTACAATGCTAATTTGGGGACCAAGAGTGAGACTTGAGCATTTTCTGCAGAGCAATAAGCAGGAAATTAACAAGATGGGACTGTTTAATGTGCAGTTCCCCGGACTGGAAATCAGAATCTAGCCTGCAGCACTGCACAAAGTTCCTTAAGATGCTAATGATGTGGTCACCCCAAGGAGGAGCCCTCCCATTCACAGGCGCCCAAGTACGCAGGTGGGCTTCCCACGGTGGGACCACAGGCCTGGCCAGGGAACCTGATTCTGCCATGTGAGGCCCTCACTGGAGAAGAGGCCCCACAGGATGCTGGGAATGGGGTCTGGAATCCAACAGACAATTGCTGGAGGCCACTGGACAGTTTCCTCAGTCTGACCTTCAGTTTCAACACCATCAATCACTGAGGTTCCCATCATGGAGCACACAGGGCTGTGAAGAGGACTGAACAATGGGGGGGGCTGTGCAAGGTGTTTAACATCTCCCTGTCTGCATGGAATATGTAAGAACCACCCAGGCAAGCTGTAGGCTTATGCTTGCATTGATTCATCACTGTCTCCTCTACTCCCCAAGGCAGGGAGCAAACATGGCTGTCAGGAGCATCCTACCAGAGGTCTGAACCAGTCCTGGGACAAATGCCTACATGGCCAGACCCAAGCCACAGCTGTGAGGCTCTCAGGGATGCCTGGAGTTGAGTCTGTGGGGAGGGAAGGCTGTGTTCCAGATCCGGTGTGGCTGTACCTGGCCCCTCAATCCCCAAGCTGGATACCTGTCCTGCCTTCCCAGCCTCAGGGTCTCACTTCCTGACAGGCTGGAAAGCTGGCAAGGGCCGTGTTCTTCAAATTCTGTTATAACTCAATTCAGTGGTTTATAAGCAACATTTTTTTAATGAAAAATAGAAAATAGAGGGTATCCCTAGTTCTGAAGGTGAAAATTGCTTTGTGAGACTTGAGACACAGATTTAGACACAGATGTGAATGATACATTATGCAAAGCACACTGCTGGCTGTGGATGATGGTCCAGGTCTAAAGGGCACCCAGCCTTGGTGGTCCTGGTTCTGATTATCATTCCTTCCTAACCCCGGGAAACGGAGGGAAAAGGCCACATGCGCTGGCGTATGCCAAGGACACTGCCAATGCCTCCCGTTGGCCTCTCTGATGTGATTTTATGAGCACTTGCTTCTGGAAAGTTAATCTTTGGTATTTGCTCCCCCACGCCTCCCCTGCAAACACTCCCCATAGATAAAGGCGAGTCATTCTTCTGGGTAAGAACAGGACATTCTAGGCTAAGACTGGCCAGTGACTCACTATTATTCAGAATGGTGACACAAAACCTACTCACCCTGTCCTGAGGCATGCAAGGCCCCTTTCTCTCTGATGTTGCAATGGCAGAGGGCTGACTCCCCCAAAGACCAGATGAAAGTGTACTGGGGCCAAGGACCCAGGGAGGGAGGCAGAGCATAGAAATGTAAAGAAACACTATATGGTATCAAACCTGCCTCCAGTGTGGGATGTGAGTGGCGTTGTGTGGGCTCCCCCATGTGGCCAGAGGTGGAACTTCAGCAGCCACCAGTGATCAATCTAGTGATGGGGATGCAGTTCAGGAAGGGACCCTGGAGTACCAGGATTCTGTTCTGCTAAAGGTAGCTCTTTCGGAATAGAGATGCTCTGTCAGACTAGGTCGCTGGAGGCCAGAGTATACGGAATTTTAACAAGAGTGCCTTTCATATGGAGCCCCAGCTCAGGCTACGTTTTGTGTGCACACATTTCTAGTGAAAGCTAGGGTTCTGGTGCACAGCCTGGAAGTGCAATCAATCCAAAGTAGAGGAACAGATTTCCTGATTCTCTTCAACAAATGAAAGCCTTCTCTCTGGGAAAATTTCACAAGACACTGAGACTTTGTGGGTTGATACAGAGTGTGACTGTGAGGCAGGGGCCACCCTAACCCTTCAGAGCTCTACCTAGGACGCATGCTTCAGCCAGAGGCTGAAAGGAAAACTCATGGTCCTAGGAAGTCTGCTTTATGCATCTGGCTTTCTTAAAAAGAATTTCAGGGCCCCTTGAAGGAGGCTGAAGGAAGGAGCTGCCTACTCAGTTCCCAGAGGTATTAGGCTTGTGAACTTGGAGGGGTAGGAGAGGCCAGTACACAGGAAGTCAGTGGCGTGGCCAGGTTTGAGGCCTCTAGAGAGGTAGTGTGAGGAGGGCTGACTGCAGCCTGCCCCTGGTGCTGGGAATTGGCCACATAAGTCCCTAGAAAGGGGCTGTGAGCTACAGTGATCTCCCTAGAGGGGAGAGGGAGGGAGGGAGGGAGGGAGGGAGAGAGAGAGAGGAGAGAGAGAGGGAGAGGGAGAGAGAGAGGAGGGAGAGGAAGAGGGAGAGAGAGAGAGAGAGAGAGAGAGAGAGAGAGAGAGAGAGAGAGAGAGACCTGAGTAGTCAACTGGGCGGCAGCGAGGCGGGACAGGTTGAATGGGGGAAAAGGCTGCTGGGAAGTCATGGTGCCTGCGCTGGCAAAATATGGACTGTTTTCCTGTAGACCAGGAAAAAAGGCCAGTGAGGCAGGAATACAGTGAAAGGGAGGGGAGTGGACAGAAATTGAGATTCTCAAATTAGAGATTGCTAGTAGCCTGGTCCTGTCTACCAGTGTTTCATGGAGGGATACCATGAGGAGCAGGCAGAGGGCACAGTCCTCCAGGAGGGCACTGGACAATGAACTCTCCCACTCTCCAGGAAGAGCGGTTCTCGATGGAGAAAGGAAGCCCAGATCTTTTAGATTTCTGGACCCTTTTGGACATGGCAGTGATTGTGTCTGTGTTCCTATTACTGTCCTTCCTTTCTGTAAAGAGAGAAGCTGAGAGGCCAAGGGGAAGGCAGAGGACAGAGGATGCTGGGCACAGAGCAAGGGGAGGTCACCTAGAGGAAGACCAGGCACTCTGCTGGACACACAGAGGGATGAAGGGATGCCGGGGGAGGCAGGGGCTGACCAGCAGAACCTCATGATGGTCTCCGCTCTTCCTGCCTGGCTCAGGGCTCTGCGCCCCCCAAGGGCCTCCTCACCCTTCTCTCCACCGACTCTGGCTCCTCTTCCATTGGACAGTTCAAGGATTGCTGTCCCTAGCCAATCTCAACACACCACTTTGGGTCTCTGAATGGGGAGCCGCACTCTCACTCCACATTGGTGCTATATAACTGCTAGAGGCCTTGACGTTCTTCTCCTGCCTGGGCTTTGCGGCATCTCAACAGAGAGGTATCAGTTCTGCCTTGCTTCAGTATCTACCCACCACAACCATCCAGAGCCAGTGGGCCCAAGAGGCTGTGGTAGGATCTTGTCCTCCTCTCTTTAAGGCCTGACTTGGGTACCAGGTTCCGGAGAGCTAGGGCACAGTGCAGAGAGAGGGCAAGGAGAGGAGGGGAGATGGCAGGTGAGAGAAAGCTCATGAGTGACTAAGCCCAGGATGCCTGTCACCCCAGAAAGGCCTCATAGTCCATGTACCAAACCAGCTGTCCAGAAAGAGGCAGGACACCTGAGATGGGCCACTTTTTAGGCTCATGGCCCACGCGGCTCACCAGCATGGTGATCTCACGCTTTATCTTGCCCATGACCAGGACAGCCACCTTCTTGGCACGGTTGATGAGAGGCAGGCTGAGACTCATGCGCTGGTGTGGCCTGGAGGGGCTCTGTGTCAGCACCACTAGCTGCTCACCATCCAGGCCAGTAGGCGACTGTGGGAACAAGGAGGCTGTGTGCCCATCAATGCCCATGCCCAGCAGCACCAGGTCAAAGCTGCTGTTGGCCACCAGGGCTGAGATCTCGCTGGCGTAGGTCTGGGCTCCCTGGTCCTCTTCGGCACAAAGACGCTGGTGCAGGTGCACTGGCATAGGATGGATGTTATAGTAGGGGACCCTGATGTGTTGCAGCAGGTGGGCCTGAAGGCCCTGGAAGTTGGACTCTGGATCTGACAGAGGGACACAGCGCTCATCAACCAGCCATAGGTGTGTGTGGGCCCAGGGGAAGCTGTAGTGCCCAGTGGCCAGCTGCTGGAACAAGGCTATGGGGCTTGAGCCACCGGACAGCGCCAGGTGGAACTTGCCAAAGAGCCGCACTGCCTGCACCGCAGTGGCTTCGATGTCATTGGCCAGCTTAGAGATCAGCTCTTCCGGCCAGGCAGAGATCAACGGGCTCTCTCGGTACTGGGCCCTGAGGACCTGGAAGTCACTGGGTCTTGGGGCCAACTCTGGCCCTGGTATCAGCAGCTCTAGCGGCTGCTGGGAGAAGAACAGTTGGCCACCACTGAACTCAAAGTCCAGCAGATGGTCACTCTCTACTCCCCCCGGGTAGAGACGTGGGACCTCATTGGCCAGGCTGCCCAACAAGGGTGTCCAGAAGATCCAGGAGGCCAGCAGGTTCTCTGTGGTAATGAAGGACTCCTTCCGGCCATGGAAGATGTGGGCTAGGAGGGTGGAATAGGCATCACGCTCCCTCACAGGGCTGTAGGCATAGTAATCAGACAGAGGACGGCCAAAAAGGTGAAGCCCGGGCCGGTCCTGCACCTCCTTCCAGCTCTGGGTGGGCAGGGAGGGCTTGAACAGGTTCCGGCTGACCAGAATGGCAGGGTGGCCCAGTTCACCATGTCCAATGTAAAAGATGATCTGCTGGGGCAGGCATCGGTTCTGCTCTGAGGCCCAGTGCCTCTCACTCTGGGTGCAGTACGCCCGGTTCTTGAACAAGATCCGAATATAGCCCACTCTCTCGTCCAAGGCCTTGCCAGACATCAGGATGAAAGGAACACCCTCCCAGCGCAGGTTGTCGACGTGGACCAGGACACCTGAGGTGGGAGGAGAACACTGGGTGACGTCATAGCCTGAGGGTCGGCTGTGCAGCCACCAGCCAGCTCGGGTACCCACCTGCGAAAGTCGGTGTCAGGCTGTGGAAGCTGTCTGGCCTCTGCAGCTCGCGGCGCACCTGCTCCCTGTAGGCCTGGTACTGGCCCAGGACAGCACTGCTCTTCTGCAGCCCCCGCAGGGCCTGGAAAGTCTGCAGTTTGTGCTGCAGCACAGCAGCTGAGCTGCTGATGTCATAAGGCAGCTCCATTGCCACCAGTGTGAGGATCTCAGTCAGGTGGTTCTGCAGTGTGTCCCGGATGACACCATACTCCTCGTAGAAACTGGTACGACCTGAGCAGGAAGAGGGTTTTCAGGAGGGTTTTTGAGGTGTGGCATGACCCCACCCCAATTATCCTGGCATCCGTTCCTCCATCCAAAGAACTCATGTCAAGGTGCACCAGGGCAAACCTCAACATGAATAAGGAAAGGGGGCCACTGGGGTCACCTCCTTTCATCAAGAACTACCCTATGGGAAGGGGTCAGCCCATTGGGCCTGTCCAGGAATCTGCTTGGGAAGGCTTGAGTCACACCACCAGATAGAAACATCTGTAGACACTGGGCCAGCCTCCTGCCCTGCTTTCTCTCCCTGGGCACTGGTCAGTGTGGGAGGAGGCTGGGCCACCTAGAGAAGACTTCTTATCCTAACTAAATAGAGCTAACAAGCATCACCCTGTGATTCAGCACACACGTGCACTTGGCTAGGTGTAAGGAGATGGGAAGGAGGGAGAGGAGAAAGAGGAAATGAAAGCACAGGCTGTGAGACAGGGCCACGGGAAGGTCCCTCTGAGACCAGAAGGGTATTTCAGGTGAGGGGGCCTTCAAGTGCACAGCCCTGAGGCCTGCTGGGGTTGGATGATGGAGGCTGGAGGGAGGCTGAGGTCATGTGGGATGAGGTAAAGGGGCTGCACAGTGCTCTGGGCTCCAGGAGAAGCCCCTGGATGCCCAAAGCACAGCACACTGAGAGGCCAGGTTTGGCCTGCTGTAGGGTGAGGCTATAGAGGAAGGAAAGCTGCTGGAAGAGATGGTCAAGTTCCTGCTAGAGCAGTGGCGGAGGAGCAGGAGATTCATTTCAATCTGGAATCGGCTGGACTTGCCAACAGGTGAAAAAAGTGGGGGCAAAAGGAGGGACTAGATCTGCAAACTGGGGCCCAAGCAACAGCACAGGTATCGGTAACATTTCTAGAGCTGGGAAGACAGGCCAGGGAAGAAGCTGTGGAGGGAGAGGAAAACAGGCATGCGTTAAATGTGCTGAAGATGTCCAGGTGGAGATGGCTGGCTGGCAGGTGCCCAGGACCAGTGAGAAGGCAGTGCCGGGAACATCGAGCCTGGAGCCTGCCACCTACAAGCCTGGTGTAGCATCAAACACCTGACATATGCCAGTCTCACACCACAAGGACCCGCATGGCAGGTACCTGCTCACCACTGCTTTACATGGGAAGGAGTCGGGTGACCAGGGCCAGGATCGCCCTTCTCCAAGGCTAAGGCATGCGGGCTCTGGTCGTCCTTGATTTTGACAGGCACGAGTCTCAGAGCTTAGGAGTCAAATGTACACCCCTTGTAGGATGTGGCACAGATGTCCCAACTTGTAAATGTCCAGTCCAGTTACCACCTCATGCACAGAGCAAGCCTCACAGTGTGGCACAAAGAGCAATCACCCACCAAATGCTTTGCCTGTGTGAGTTGCTGGGTGGCTAACCAACTCCCATGCAAGCTGGGTACCTGCGTTGGTTAGTTTGTGTCATTTTAACACAAACTAAAGTCATCTGGGAAGAGGGACCCTCAACTGAAGAATTTCCTAGATCAGAACGGCCTGTGGGCATGTTCGTGGGGCATTTTCTTGATTGCTAATTGATGGAGGAGGGCCCAGCCCGCTGTGGGTGGTGTCATCCCAGGGCGCGTGGGCCTGAGCTGTGTAAGAGAAGTAGCTGAGCGAGCCAGAAAAAAGAATGAGCCAGTAAGCAGCACTCCTCTGTGCTCTCTGCATCAGCTCCTGCCTCCAGGCCTCCTGCTTCAGTGCTTGCCCCGTCTTCCCTCAGTGAGAGATTGTGACCTGAGAGTTTTGAGATAAAATAAACCCTTTCCTCCCCAAGCTGCTTTTCGTTATGGTGTTTATCATGGCCACAGAAAGCAAACAAGGGCAGCACGTCTGCTCCTACTAGGAGCTCTGGCCTCCTTTACTGCAGGCCTACCTTCTGGAGTCCACCTGACACTGGCCCTTCATCTCTGCACCTGAGCCCCATGGTGAGGATAAAGCTGTTGTGTACCTGTCCCCTAAGTCATTACCATTTATTTTCTTACCATAGACAGCAGAGGGAATGAATCTACACATCCTGTATATAATCACAAGGAGGAGACAGCATCACCTTAACAAAGCATGAACTCATTTGAAAAGAGGAGACGGGCTGGAGAGAGGGCTCAGTGATTAACAGTGATTGCTGCTCCCACAGAGAATCGGAACTCAGTTCCTAGCACCCACATTAGGTGGCTACCAACCACCTCTAACTCCAGCTCCAGGGAATGTGATGCCCATACACACACATATACACATACATAGAAATATATAAATATAGGGCTGGAGAGATGCCTCAGTGGTTAAGAGCACTTGCTGCTCTTGCAGAGGACCCACACGATGGCGCACTAACTACAGTTCCAGGGCAGGTCTGCATTTTATTTATTTTATCTGATGGCCTCTTCTGGCTTCTGCAGGCACCAGGCACATACATTCATGTAGGCAAAACACTCTTACACATAAAATTAAAAAAAATTTTTAAATCTTAAAACAAAAATAAAGAGGTGCTGGGAATGATGGTGCACGCCTTTAATCCCAGCACTCGAGAGGCAGAGGCAGGTGGATCTCTGGGAGTTCAAGACCAGCCTGGTCTACATAGCAAGTTCCAAGCCAGCTGGAGCTACAGGGATACCCTGTCTCAAAAAGACCAAAATAAATAATAAATAAATAAATAAATAGGATATAAACTGGCCAACATGAACAGAATTTCAATAAGTAACTATCATTGGAATTTAGAAATTCAGCAGGGGAGTGGGGGTTACAGATTAGAAACTGCTGGAAGAGTCAGTGAGTAGCAGACCAATCTGGAGAGTTGATTCTGAAGGCAGGATGAAGAGGAAATGAGGGCTGGGTGGAGCTTGGCAATAGAGCACTTACCTAGCACGCATGTGGCCCTGGGTTCCATCCCCAGCACCACAAAAAATAAGCATACAAAGAGATCAGTAAGTATACATGTGCAATGTACAGCTCCTCACCAAAATCAGACAATATACTGTTTACTGATTTGGACATACATGACAACATAAAGAAAAGTGAGGGCTGGGGCTGGAGAGATGACTTGGTCTGAAAAGTGCTTGCTGTGTAAGCATGAAAACCTGAGTTCAGAGCCCCAGCATCCATGTTAAAAGCTAGGTGTGGTAGGCAGAGGAGGCAGAGACAGGATCCCTGGTGCTGGAGGGCTAGCCAGTCTGGCTGAGTTGGTGAGCTCCAGGTTCACTGAGCTAACACTATCTCAAAAAAGTAAGGAGGGGGGCTGGAGAGATGGCTCAGCGGTTAAGAACACTGGCTGTTCTTGCAGGAGACCCGGGTTTGAATCCCAGCACACACACACACGGCAGCTAACAACTATCCATAACTCCAGTTTCAGGGGATCCAACAGCCCCTTCTGTCCTCTGCGGGAATTGCACAACACGGGTGCACTTAACCTACATGCATACACATAAAATGAAAATAATAAAATATATTTTTTTAAATATATATATATTTTTAAAAAGTAAGGAGGAGAGTGACTGAGGAAAACATCTGATGTTGCCCTCTGGCTCCCAAATAAAAGCACATGTGGGTACACACATGTACATATGAACATGTATACACACACAAAACGAGAAGCAAGCACATAAGCTACCCAAGATTGGGAAGAGCAGAGGACAGGCCATAGGACAGAGTCCAAGGGGGAAGAAATGGTACTTTTTGAACAACTGGTGGGGACTGGCGAGACGGCTCAGTGCGTAAAGGTGCTTGCTGACAACCCGAGTTCAATGCCCTGGTCTCATGTGGTCTACCACATACATACCCCACCCATGCATACACATATACATATAAGCATCTTTTTACCTGGTATCTAGTTAATATTTAATTCAAACAGGTAAAGGGGAGTGGGTTCCATTTCAAACCTGTGGGGCTCAGCATGTTCCTTCTAAGTGGGCACCATGGGTCTTTAGAATCTGCCCTGCTGGACAGACTTGGAGACCATTTGGAAATAAAAAGTTTTAAAAGGTAGTTTGGGGGCTGAGGGATAGCTTAGTGGTTAAGAGCAATTGCTGCTCTTGCAGAAGACTGGGATTCGGTTCCCGGTACCCATGTCAAGTGACTCACAACTGCAACTCCAGTTCCTGGGGATCTGACCCTCTTGTCTAGGCTGTGTGGGTACACCCACTCATGTGGCATACACACACATAAATAAATAAATAAAAATTTAAAAAGAAAATACATCTTAAGAAAAATGCAATTGGCATTCTTGTGACACAGTGATGGTTCCCATTTTAAGTGTACTGACTCTGAAGAAGTGATACTTGGTGACAGTCCTTAAAAGGTCACTAGAGGCACAAGCCAAGACGAACAATGCCCTAGACTTCCCCAACCCTGAAACACCACCCACGGTTAAAGTATCAGTGCTTATAACTTCTTAGGAAAAAAAAATGGGCTGCCAGTTCAACCCTGGCACCCACGGTAAAGCCAGCTTTAGAGATGCTCAGATACCAAACCCACACCAGATAAAATCAATCAACTGCAGTAGATTTAGGCATAAAGAGGACAGTTGTGGCTTTAAGAACCAATGAATTTTTGATGTTGAGAAAGCAAGAGTCCTTGAAAACCCCGCCACCTGCCTACTATTTGCTAATTTCACAAACCCCTGAGTGACCCTTTTCCTATTTTTATCCTCTCAATTCTGGGGAGTGGTGACGAGGTTCACTACCTGCTAGGGAGGAGAGAGCTTCTTTATTCCTTCATTTCAAGCTCTGGGGCTGCTCCTGTGTTTAGCACAGCCTATGGGTAAAAGAGCTCTGCTCCCAACCTGGTCAGCTCTGCTAGGACCAGGACTGTGGCCTGGCACGTGGAGGGGGAGAGGCCAGAGTGCAGCTGAGCACCAGGGTGGGAAGCTGGGCACTGGCCTTTGTGGCACTCAATGTGCTGATTTAATCTGGGAGCTGCCAGTTATTGTGGACTGATATTTTTTTTCCTGATAATGATCTGTGCTGACTTTGGGGATCCTTTCCTAGGTTAAAGGTTCAGGATGAAAACCCACAGGTAGTTGAAAACGATAGAGAAAGCTCAAGCAGGTTGGAAAACTGAAAGAAAGACCACCACCCCATGAACTTGGTTCCTCTCTACAAGTCTGGGGGGGGTACCACAGCTCTGCTCTCTGTCCCAGCCCTCAGTCTGATAGATGGAAGAGTGGCTAGAAACTGCTCTTCCCCTTCTGGCCCACTGATTCCAGTGCAGATACAGACTTAAAGGAAAAATATTTAATGATCATAAATGTTCTAGAATTAGACAGTGGTCACACAGTATTTCAAACATACTAAAAACTACTGAATCATAGACTTTAAAAGCGTAGATTTTACAGAATGTGAATTTTATATATAAAGCTCAGAAAATACCATTTAAAATAACAAAATCTGGAAACAACCAAAATGCTTAGTTACAGAACTTATACCACATATTCTGTGGTATAAATAGAACTGAACAGAAATACGGAGCTGTTAAGATACATTATGCAAATTGTCAATATATGGAGTTTAGATATGGGGGGAGGGGGAAAGAGAGAGTAAGAGAGAGAGAAAGAGATATTAAGAATGAACTAAGAGAGACTGATAGATCAATCATAGACCTTTATATAATTAGCGAACATAGTCAGTTTGGAAGGCTGGAAGATCACTTCCACTACCTCTCCTGCAAACTTGGAAGGAGAATATTTCCATTTGTAAAGTATTTCCATGGACATCAACTAATTCAATCCATAAAAACCACCCAGAGGCAATACCAGGGTATCTCAGCATTGTAGAGTCTGAGCTGAGGGGTCACACCCTCCAAACTGGACCAGTTACTCCTCCCAAGGCTTCCATTATGGGAAAGCTGGGTTTCCCTAGCAAAAATAGATACTTTAACAAAAGAAAGACAACTAAAAAATGGTTGCAACCCCTACCAATATCTTCTGGGATCACTAAAAAATAAGGATGGTGAGAGCCAAGGAGAGATGCTAGCTGCTGGCCCCTCTCCCTCCTCCCCCATCTCTCTGGACAGGAGGCTGCAGCTACCCCATGCTCAACCTGCAGACAGCACAGCAGATGGATTAGAAAAGGACGCTAGCTCTGCTGAGTGACCGGCCAGACTTTATGGCACACAGGCGGAAGGCAGGACAGCTGGTGCTGCTGCCTGGGAGGATCTTGGCTGCCTTAGTCCCTTGGTGAGGGGCACTGGGTGGTCACTCCAACCCTCAGGGTTGCACATACATCACACTCTTTTCCCTAGCAGGGACAGTCTTAGGAAGTATCTCTTCTTCTCCTGCCAAACAAAGGCTTCTGTACAGAGGGGAAACTGAGGAGAGAGAGAGAGAGAGAGAGAGAGAGAGAGAGAGAGAGAGAGAGAGAGACCCTGAGTATGTTGTTGTGGTAAGAGAGGCCTGGGCAGCAGAGGCTGAGGAATATCATAATTAGAAGTTCAGGTTCTGGTAGTCCAGAGGCTGGGGTTCAAACCCTGACTGCTGAACCTTTGTCATTAAGGACCTGGTTCCTCCTGTCAGCAGAGTTACCTGGGGCCATCCTATATAGCAGCAGGTGACCTGGTTAAGGTCACTTCTATGTTCCATGCTGCTGTATCAGAAGACCCCAGTGAGGGGCAGGGCATCCTGTGAGGAGAACCCAGGTCAGATATCACGGGGTCACTGCTGGCCCTGAGGACAGCCTCTTCCATCCTCCTCCTGTGCACCCCCAGCCTGTGCAGCAGTCCTGACCCCACAGCAAGCTCTACTGGGCCAGAGGCTGAAGGAGAAAAAGCCCTTGGACACAGTCGTGGTGGGGAGGGATCTGGGGAAGCCACTGCCACCCAGGTGGATGTGGGTGAATGGGGGTGGGGGAAAGAGAGCCAACCAACCTTGCAGTTCTACAGTTTGGAAGTCTGTTTCCCAGGGCTTCGGCAATGCGGAACCAGAGACATTCAGTATCTAGAGCCTGGCGAGCAGCCCCTTCCCTCCCAAAATGCAGGGTACAGTCTAGATTCCCCCAGCATCTACCCCTAGGCAGGAGCAGGGCATGAGTGGGGCCAGGGGACAGGAAATGGTTTGTGACCTTGGTCCTTCTGTTTAATGTTCAGACTGTGGGGCTCAGGAATTCTGCCCTGAAACATTTGGCCCACACTGAGGCTGGCAGGACCAGCACTCACCTCCTGAGCCCACTACTGTCACCCAGATGGCAGCACCTGGGTCCCATGCCAGGTTCATTGCTGGCTCAGTGGTGGGGAGGGGGCAGACTGGTATGGAGCTGCAGATATTCAGTCCCTGTCCTCTCTCCAGCTTGAGCTGTAGAATCCAAAGCAGGCGGGGGGGGGGGCAGGATGGAGACACAGGACACCTGTCAGCAGAGCTTCAGCAGGGCCCTCTTGGGATGCCAGAGTGGGCTAGCCAGTCCTAACAAAAACAGACACTGAAAGAAGGGGGTGACAGCACATGACCCCACCTCAAACAAAAAAACCAAGTCCAATACTCCACTAGACATACACAGCAACCCTTGTCCCCTGCTGGGTGCAGGCCCTTGCGACAAGGAGGGCCCTGGCTGCCTGTCCTCCCACTGAGTCGGGGAACACTATGCTCCAGGCTCAGGAGCAGTCGAATCCACCCACTGTAGCAGCCTTGCAGTCAAAGGCCCCACAAACCTGTCCCCAGGCCCAGCCTGGGTGACAGCTGCTGTTCAGACCCAAGCTCTTCCTGTTGCAGGCCTGCTTCAGCAATCCGACCTGCCTAGATTTCGACCTATCTTTCAGTCTGGTCCTCTGACCTCCATTCTCCAAATTCCAAAGGCACCTTTGCTCTAGTGTGCCTGATCCCTGGCTCCACAGAGACCCCACAGAAGGTATGTAAACACAAGAAGGAAATGGGCTACTGGGGGACACAGTAACAATTTGCTTTTTAAATTATCACTGTTGTTGCTGGGTAAGAGGTAATGCTGTAAATATAATGCTCAGAAACTGTAATAGCAGGTCAGCAGGATGGCTCAGAGGATGACAGCACTTGCTGCCAAGTCTGACAACCTGAGTTCAGTCTCTAGAACCCAAACGATAGAAGGAGAGAATCAACTCCCACAAGTTGTCCTCTGACTTCCACACACAATGTGCAGTGGTATGTAAGCACCCAGACACACACACATACACACACACACACACACACACAGGAGTACTGGCATGCACACATAAACACACACCACACACACACACCACACATACACATACCACAAATACATATATACACACACACGAGTACTGACATGCACACATAAACACACACCACACATAAACACACAACACACACACAAAGTACCTGCAAGCACACATAAACACACAACACAGACATACACAACTCCACACACACCTTAAAATATCTTTGTTTTTATTTTATGTGTATTTTATGTGCATGTAAGTGTACCCATGCTGTGCAATGCCCACAGAGGTCAGAAGAGGGTGTCGGACTCTCCTGGAACTGGTTGTCAGCTGCTATGTTGGTACTGAGAATTGAACCCGGGTCCTCTGCAAGAGCAGCCAATGCTCTTAACCACTGAGCCATCTCTTCAGTCCTTCACACACACACACACACACATACACACACACACACACATAAACACACACACAGTTTAAAAAACTGTAATAATGCCGCAGAATGCCAGAGCTCAAAGTGACCTTGGCCACCATCCCCCTACAAAATCTGCTCTTGCCACAGGTGTAGAAGTGACACACAGAGGTCACCCAGCTAGAGGCAGAGACAGGCCTAAAACTCAGTCTCCTGAGCCTGGGCTGATGCCATTCATTTGATGTTTATTCAGAACCTGTGAGGTGGATGCCCTCCTGGCATAGACATTCAGGTGAGAGAGCCAGTGAGGCAAGCACAGGACAGCCGGGCCTATAGAGCTCAATGGAGCATCTGTGGCTCTAGGAGGGAGTGGCAAGTGGGCCTCACAAGGTGGCCAGAAAGGTCCCCAGAGAAAGAGTAATGGTGCTAGAACTCACCTGAGAGGGGGGCCTGAGCAAGGAGGGCATAGGTGAAGGCTGCCACCAGCCATGGTGGCACCAGCCATGCAAGCACAAGGCCTTATAGCTGTGACGGTCCCCATTGCACTAGCATAGAACCCACAGTAGGGGCTGGAGAGATGGCTCAGTGGTTAAGAACGCTGATGTTCTTGCAGAAGACCCAGGTTCAAATCCCAGCACCCACATGGCAGCTAACAACTGTCTGTAACTCCAGTTCCAGGGGATCTAACAGCCTCTTCTGACCTACACGGGCATCACACAACATGGGTGCACTTAACCTACATGTAGGTAATACATGCATACACATAAAATAAAAAAAATAAATAAAATTAACAACAACAACAAAAAAACACAGTAGCTGGGTGTGATGGCACACCTGTAATCCCAGCACTTGGGAAACAGAAGCAGGAGGATCAGAAGTTCAAGGTCATCCTTGGCTACAGAGTGCTTTTGAGGCCAGCCTGGGCTATATAATACTGTGTCTCAAAAAACCAAACCCAGCTGGGCATGGTGCCACACACTTTTAATCCCAGCACTGGGAGGCAGAGGTAGGCCTCTGAGATTGAGGCCAGTCTGGTTTACATAGCAAGTTCCAGCCCAGATGGGGCCACCAAAAAGAAAAGCCCAACCCAATCCAAACAAAACAAAAACACCCAGGACAATTTCCAACACTGACAGCTTGCAAAGTATATAAGTGTCTGCACCAGGTGTATGTCACTGGGTCAGATGACCCCTAGAGCAGCAATGACAACTTGGGCTTTGCCACCAGGTACCCTGCAGGCCAAGTGCAGTGTGGCACACAGCAGGAGACCTGGAGGTAGCCTACATACCAGCAGAAATCCTCCCTCTGAACCGAGCTGGCCGTGGTGCAGAGGCCCAGCTGACACTCCTGACTGGAAGGCCTGGAGTCCCACCAAATACCAGTTAGGCAAGGCCAAGGAGCCCCAGGGCACCAGGCTTCTCACGCACCTTCCGCATCCACAGTCTCCTTCATGATGATCTCCACCCGCTCCACATGGTGCCTGTTCCAGAGGCCATCCAAGGCCTTACGGTTCTGGTCTCGGAAGGACAGGATCTGAGCCACGGCCTGTCGGGGAGGAAGACTGGTCATCCCAGGTTCTTCTCTGATGAAGGAAGAGCCCTGACTCCCGGGCTCCAGACCTCTCCACTTCCTGCTTAAGGAGAAAACATTCTGTGGACAACAGTTCCTGGACCTCAGGGTCTCACAGCCCAGCAAAGATACGCAGAACTTAAAGTGACCTAAACAGTTTCCAGGCGAGAAAGACATATTTTAAACTGCCTACCTCACTGGGGCTGTGACACCTGGCTTCATACACATGAAGCCTTAGGATCGAGTCCCATTGCTTCACAAAAACCAACCAACCAATAAAACAAAGCAAAAAAAGGTCTCTTAAGACTATCAACTTTTGGGGCTGGAGAGATGGTTCAGTGGTTAAGAGCACTGGCTGCTCTTGCAGAGGACCTGGGTTCGATTCCCAGCACCCACATGGCAGCTAACAACTGTCGGTAAGTCCAGTTCTAGGGGAATCAGGCACCTTCTTCTGACCTCCACAGGCATTGGGTACACTTACACTCATACACATAAAAAAATAAAGACTATCAATTTTTTATTTTTTGGTCTTTTTGAGACAGGGTCTCCCTGTAGCCCCAGCTGTCCTGGAACTATGTAAACCAGGCTGGCCTTGAACTCACAGAGATCCGCCTGCCTCTGCCTCCCAAGTGCTGGGACTATAGGCGTGTGCCACCATGCCCGGCTCAAGACTATCAATTTTTAATAAAATAATTTTCTTTTGGTCTATTTGAGACTGTTACTATGGCAACATGCAGTTGGATGGAAAGCAAAGCCTCTGCCCCAGGTAACTAACTACCTGCTAGTCTATGGCCCAGCTCAGCAGCCCTGGTACCAAAGAGCACAGGTGTAGTACACTCCTTGTTGGGAATGCTGGGACTGGACACGCCGAGAGTTCTGAGGACTGTGCAGAGTGAACTGGCCACTGACGGGCATCCTCCAGGTCACTTCAAACTCCTGCCTCCAGGTTTGGCTGAAAGCTTGTGCTTGGGCCCCACTGCATCCTATTTAGTTTTAATATCTTACTACCATCCTTCTGGTTCAAGACAGAATTCAGGAAGACAAATATTTTTATTTTAAAAAGGCAGATGGAGCCGGGCGTGGTGGCACACGCCTTTAGTCCCAGTACTCAGGAGGCAGAGGCAGGCGGATCTCTGTGAGTTCAAGGCCAGCCTGATCTACATAGTGAGTTCCAGGACAGCTGGGGCTACAGGGAGACCCTGTCTCAAAAAGACAAAAAAAAAAGGCAGATGGGTGTAAAATAAAAATGTGAATTCTAATTCCCATAGCATCCACCAAATAGAAGCCAGATCCAAACAACAGAATCCCTGGGCCACCTCTGTGGAGGGGGCAGGCCAAAACTGAGGAAGCAGAGGCTGAAGAGACATATAGAGAAAGTGCTACTTACTGGTTTCCTCTGCTTCTGTACCCCCTGCCTACCTTCAGGGAAGCTGTGGGGGTTCAATACCCTCTGGCTCAATTTGACAGTTGGTAGTGTGGCCCTGCTGATGGGTCCATGGTACCCAGCATGTCCCAGACCTGCCAGGCTCCACACTGCAGCTTACCTGCTTGCCCAGGTAATGGTCCACCCGGTACATCTCCTCCTCTTGGAAAAAGCTCCCAAGTTCTGAAGCCAACTGCTGGGCAGAGAGGTGGTCATGGCCAAAGGGCTTTTCAAAGACAACCCGCAGCCAGGCACCCGGGCCTGGCCGGCAGCTGCTATTGATGTTGCGGGCAATGTCTGCGTAGGCAAAGGGTGGCACGGAGAAATAGAAAATCCTGCCGGCCTCCCAGAGCCCTTCCTGCTGGACCTGAGTCTCGATGTCCTTGCTTAGAGTCTGATAGTCCTCAGCTGTCTTCAGTTGGCGGTACTGGCTCAGCTGCAGAAACTGACCCTTGAGTTCAGCACAGTGACCGGGTGCCATGTCCTTAGGGCAAGAGAGGGATTCTAGGGCCTTGGCCATAAGCTCTTGGCCCTGCTGAGGGGCTGTCAGAGCAGCTCCATGGAAGCTGAAACTGTGGCCTTTCCCTGCCTCATCCAAGTACAGCTGGAACAGGCCCTGCCACAAGTACTTCTTAGCCAGGTCCCCGGTTGCTCCCAGAAGAATTATGGAAACGTGTCCCTGGAATTCCTGGGCTTGCAGGCAGCTCAGAAGGGCCAGGCACACGGCCGCTCTGAGCATCTTCCAAATGCCTGAGTGCCTGGGGAAGACAAAGAACAAGGAAGGATCAGACATGGTTCAGGACGTTAGGATGTGGAAGCAACACGTCTAAGGTATCAAACATTTCCTGCCTGGCAAGAAACAGCCGTGTGTTTCTTGGGAAAATGTCCCATAGCATTCCCTGCCCTCCCTGAGCAGCCAGGCTTCTGTGCCAGGAAGTCAGTAGATAGGAAGCCTGCCCTGCAAATGGGAAGAGCTAGGAAAGTTGAAGGCCACTTGGCAGAACCAGGCCATTCTGCTGCTAGGGGCATGAGAAAGGGGCATGGATGGGGGGGGCACCGCCACGGGGCTGGGAGGAGCAGTCTATTTCACAACCACCACCAGCCTCAGCCATGAGCACAGGTTGTTTGGATAGCACGAACAGTGTTGTTCCTGGTTCAGGAACAGTGGCTGATTCCCTGCTGATGGTTAGCCCACTTCTTGCTTGGTTTTTTTCCTCATGTCTACTGAACTCCACGCATAAAAGTACTTCTAATAATGACTCTGGCCATAATGTTTAAGAACAGACTTTGAGGGTTTTCAAGATGGCTCAGTAGGTAAAAGTGCTTGTTGCCAAGCCTGATGACCTAAGCTTGAGCCCCAGCATCCCCATGCCAGAGAACCAACTGCTGCAAGTTGTCCTCTGACCTCCACGCACACCCATGCGTGCACACAAATAAATATAATAAAAAAGGAACAGAGGCTGGAAAGCTCACTCCAGCAGTTACGAGCACATACCACTCTTGCAGAGAACTTGAGTTCAGTTCCTAGTCCCCACATCAGCAGGCTTACAACTGCCTGTAATTCCAGTTCCAAGAGATCTGACACCTCTGGTGTCCACGGACACCTGCACTCACATGCACATACCCACACACAGACACACACAGATACACAATTAAAAATAACAAAAATAAATATAAGAAACAAAAGAATAGACTTTGGGGCTGGTAGCTCAGTAGTAGAGTGCCTGTTCAGTATTAATGAGGGCAGTGGGTCTTATTCCTAGGACTGAAAAAAAAAAGCCAAGTATGGTGGTGTACACCTGTGATCCTAGCACTTGGAAGGCTGAGGCAGGATTGCCACAAGTTGGAGGCCAGTCTGGGGACTCAGCGGTCAAGACTAGTATGGACTACACAGCAAGACTGTCTCAGAAAAACAAACAGGGGCTAGAGAGATGGTTCAGTGGTTAAGTGCATTTGCTGCTCTTGCAGAAGACCCAGGTTTGGTTCTCAACACCCACACGGTAGCTAACAACCATCTGTAACTCCAGGTCTTGAGGATCCAATGCCCTCTTCTAACCTCATCAAGTACCAGGCAAGCACGTAGTATGCATACATGCAGGCAGAACACTCAAATACACAGAATAAAAATAAATCTGAACAAAACAAACAGGACTGTGCAGTCTACTGCCTGAGTGCGAATCTTAGCTCAGCTCTTTAAAATATTTTTTTTAGTTTTACTTATTATTTTTATATGTATGAGTATGCCTGCATTATGTAAGTGCACCTGTGTCATGCAATGTCCACAGAGGTCAGAAGAGGGCATCAGATTCCCCCGCAACTGGAGTTTCAGATGGTTGTGAGCCGCCATGTGGGTGTTGGGAACTGAACCCAGGTCCTCTGCAAGAGAAGCCAGTGTTCTTAACCACTGAGTCAGCTCTCCAGGTCCCTAGCTTAGCTCTTTAATAATTAAAATTTTATTTAACCTGTTGCACTTCTGTTTCATCTTAAATGGATACAGCAGTGGTATCTCCATCACAGAGCAGTTGTAAGAATAAAATGACTTCATGTCTATCTGACCCTTAGGCCAGTGTCTGCTACTTTTTAAGCAGCATTTACAGGGCAATTGACTGCACAACGCAGGAAAGATGTTCACATGTGCCAGTCACAGAGTCAAGTGCTATGTACCTGATGATCTTACTGGTTCCAGACAAAAGCCCTGAAAAGCCATGCAGGGTAGTTCAATTATAGTCCCCTTTACAAATGGAAAGGCTAAGGCACCATGGGATCAAGGTTCCACGGTGAGGCAACAGGGAGCTGGGTCCCCAAAACTGCCGTTCATGACCTCCCTTACGCAAACATGTCATCCCGTAATGGCATGAGCTTTACCCTGACCTGAGGCAGTTGGCATGTCTAACAGGCAAAGGGCCAGGGTCAAATTGCAAGAACATCTGAGTATTTACTGTGCTGGCCTTCTGTTCTAGCTATAGCCATAGGGCCGAGCATGCTGTGTTTATAGCCCACAGCCCTCCAGGTCTCCACTGAGGCTGGGTTTTGGGAAAGGGAGGAAGGAAGCCAGGAGGGAAGAAACCATGGCTCTGGGAGGGAGACCGTGGAAATGGAGGTGGAAGAACGAGGGGAGAGTTACAGAGTCTGGCCGAGCACCCTTCAAAACCAGACAGCATCAACAGAATGAATCTGGCTGTAGAGAAGGAAAACTGAGGTTTAGAGTGAAATTGAACATACAAAAGGCCTCACAGAGCTGGCCAGCTAACCACCACCATCCCTGCACAGAGCAATCCAAATTCACCTGTTTTTGTCTGTCTGTCTGGAAAGGATCTCACTCTGTAGCACAGGATGGCCTCAAAATCACACCAGTCCTCCTGTCTTAGCCTCCCGAGTGCTGGGATAATAGGGTGCGAGCCACCGTGAACCTACTTTTGACTTCCTCCCAGTCTTCTCTGCATCTTCTTCATCTCTCTGGGGACCCATCCCCAGGACGGGTCTAGTGATAGCCAACTAACACAAAGGTCAATAGTGGTGTCTGTACCCACGCCCACAGGACACCTGACACTTCCGCCCATGGAAAGGACCACCAGAGGCCCCCAGCCCTCCTCTCCTGCTCCTGTGCATCTATTCTCATTCTCAAATACACGGTGGGCTACATGGCCTTCTATTTTCCCCTGGTTCCCAATCCCTGTCCTTGGCTTCGGAGCCTTTCTTTCTCAACTGGCAACAGCCTCTGCCCAGAGGGAAGGAAAAGCTGCAAGGTCAGTGCGGTAGAGAGGCAGGAGAGATCTGGAGCCCAGAGAACAGCCTGGAGAAGGAGGAGGCGCCAGCTGGCAAGCACATTCCAAACTCCTGATCTGGTCCTGGGAGCCAGGGCTCTGGATGTGCTGGTACAAGAAGCTGGGGGGCCTTACAGGTAGGTGGGGGAGGCCAAGGTCTCCCTGAGGACAGTGGGGCTGGATGGCACCTGGCCCACACTGCCTCTGGCCCTCTACTCAACCCTATTCTCATCTGACAGTGTGTCTGTTCTGGGCTTAGCACACAAGTTAGCCAGCCGTATCTCTTGCTTATCAGAACTCCTGAAACATAGTGCGTATTTCAACACAGTTGCTTACTATGTAGTTGCTAAACGCTTACAAACTGGTGATGTATGCTTGCTTTTATCACATCCATTTTTAAACCTTCACTGGGTGGCTCAAATTGTACTGTGCATTTGAGTTTACTGGGGATCTTTTTAAAATGCAGAGTCTGATGGAAATAGTCAGGGGTCAGGCCTGAGGAGTCGACAGCTGGTCCATGAAGCACACGTTTGAGTAGCAAGACTCTGGAACACTAAGCACAGAAGGCATCAGCCTGGCCTCCTATTCTCCTCACCAACCAAGTCAGCGCAATCCTGTGTGAGCAGGTCCAGCAGCCTTGGAAGCTTTAGTTTGCCCCGTCCCCTTGTTACAACTGGCTTCTAAGTACTGAATCAAGTAATAAGACCTGTGCTGACCTGGTACCCAGCATGAACTGGGTGATTTAGATGCACTGCCCTAGTCAGGCCTCACTCCGGTAAGGCAGCTCCTATACCCACAATATAGTAAGTCAATTAGACTAGGAGGAAGAATGAACTATGAAGTCATGAAGCCCAAGGCCAAGTTACCACACTAACTAGCCTCTTTAGCCAATAGAGAGTCATGATACGTTGGTCTCGGGCCCTGGCCTCAAGCCCCTTTTAGGTACAGGACTTTAGGAAACCACTTAATTATTCATCCATAAAACATGGCTGAAACCAGGCACAATGGCTCATTCCTATAATCCTAGCTCTCCAGAGGAGGCCAGCTTGGGCTAAAAATGGAATTCAAGGCCAGTTTGAGCAACTTAGTGAAACCCAAATTTGGAAGTAAGAAAAAGGGCTGCAGATAACATCAGTGGAAGAGTGTTTGCCTCTCATGGGTGAGTCCCCGGGTTCGATCTCCAGTCCAGATTCCACTAACCTAAAGGAGGGAAGGGTTGTAAGATTAATTTAGATGATGTTTTTAACAACAGCGACAACAAAAAACCACCTAGACAGCTATGCATGATGGCACATGCCTGCAATCCCCAGCACTCAGTAGGCTGAGGCAGGGCTACACTCCAAGTTCAAGCCCAGCCCAGGCTGCATAGTAAGACCTTAAACCAAAACCAAAAAACAAACAAGCTATAAAAAAAAAAAAAAAGACCCTAGCCAAATATGAACTAATTAGAGTAATTAAATGAGCAAGGCATGATGTGCTGTAATCCCAGCACTTGGGAGGAGGAAGCAGGAAGCACAGGAGTTCAAAGCCAGCCTGGACTACATAACTAGTTTGAGACCAGCCTGCTACAAGAGACCCTGTCTCAAAAAAAGTCAGAAAAAAAGTTAATAAAATATAGAGTGACTCCCAGCCCTGAGGGTGGGATAATGCCATTGCTGTAAGAGACATGGGAGTTTTCTCCTCACCTCTGGGCCACAGAGCCAACCCTGCCAAGTACCCTGGAGAACAAAGCATGCTACCAACGTCACAAGCCGAATCAGCCTCCCATGATGAAGTAAAGGAAGGCTGAGGACTCTGGCTCCTCTCCCTGTGGTCTGCACCGTCAAGGGCTGCAGGTTTGAAGATTTCACGTCTCTCCCTGGTTTCTGTGCTTCCTGGGAGGAGAGCCCTAGGGAGAACCATATCAAAGCTGCAGACCTCGAGTCAGGCATGGAGCTGGGGTGACGTGCCCTGCCTACTTTGGAACTTTCTTCTCTCTTGCTTCTCTCTTTTTC